TCACAACTTTTCTTTCTTCGTCGCGTGTGGAAACACAAAACAGACTTCCAAATCAAATTTGTTGTAGAATTCATTACATAAGTGGATTATTCACAGCTAATAATAAACCCACAAGTCGAGAATACTTCTCACACAAATAAGAGAGTAACACTGCCACCTCGCGTGACCGGCCTATTCTGTCCTGCACACATCGTTTTAGCCACCTGTCAATCTAGAAGCCACAATGAGGGCTTTGTGTGTATTGTTTCAGTCTGTGTATGGGGACTTTATATTGCGGTTTGTTTTGACTTACACACAATGAGATCCTGTTTTCAGGGTTCTTGGAAATACAGAACTATTCTTTTTCTGTGTCTGGGGTAGAAGGATAACTAACGCCCCCATGCGGCCAGCAATGTTCAACGTTACCTCCTTTTATGTTTTACAGTGTTCTATGTCTTCACTTTTGAACAGGTATGATCTTTATCATTTTAACCCAGAGACTTAACATCCCTACCAAGTAAAGGAGTTAACAAAGGAATAATTTACGATGTATTGTTTTCATAACCCTGTGGTGTGCATGTGACAGATATATTGACATGTGACCTGTGTTGAGCCTTTCTCTAACATAACGCATTAGTATTGTCCGTTTTCCTCAGGAATCCTCGCGTACTTCCCGCCAAAAGTCGTGAACGTACACAAAGCATCACCTCATGTTAACTGACGGCTTGTATTGTGGCTACAGCCTGTATATCGTGTACTTTGTTGCGTTATTTCCAAATTCGCGTGCTTAGAGCAAGCCATGGGATATCATAATGAACTTACATACTACACCTGCCAGCTTCAATAACAATATACAAGATATCATATTTCACTTAAAAATGGAAGGAATTTCTTACTAGAAATCCCTCAAATCTCGTGCCTTTTTGTTGCATTTGCACTTTAATTCCTATGATGAATTGGCACACGAGGTGTCACCTTCCAAGGCACGATATGTTAGAATTTCTACTTGTAACTTAGTAAACAAGAATGACAATTGAGGTCAACATGACGTCAACACGACTAGGGCTAGTTTAAAATGGAAAAATCGTTAGAGGTAGCCTGGAAAAGGCGCGTAAAACCAGCACGTTCTTGCCGTAAACCATTATAGAAATGAGGCCGTGGAAAGGGCCGGTTGACCAGGCTACCATACGCGTAGTCGAACATATGCATTGAAAATGTTTGCAAACTGAAATTTTATATTGAAAGGGTGACTTCAAGTGATTCAATGTCTACCAACAATATTTTAATTTTCAAATTTTCATGAATATTCGTTATATGAAAACGAAGTGCAGCTTTAGACTATTTCACGAATTTTTCACAGTCGTGTATGGGAATGTGTATCGCGTTGGTTATGAATAAGACCTGGAAAAGTGTGCTGTGTATACAGTATGGTAGGTTGTAATTCGTTGTAATTAAAATACCATGAAATATAGAAAAAGTAGCTCATTATGCTTTGATAGTGCATACAACTTACGTGTAGTACTAGTAACTTGGAAAATGCTAGTCATTGATAAATAAAATTAAGTAAGAATACGTTTAGTGTCATATTTTGTCTTTGATATTTGTTACCCTACAAAATGAAATATGGCGGTAAAAAATTCTGCCGGGCGATTTTTAAACATTTGGGATGTGGGGAATTTCACTATCCTGTAACATACCCTGTAACACATGTCAAATAAAACTTACTTTTAATTTCTCATACCTACGTTATTTAAGAGCATTTGAAGGTATACCTACAAATCTTTCTCATTTGCAAATATTTACCACATTTTCATTACACATTAATGGAATCGGAATTCTAAAAAAGTCAAATCAACAATACCTAAAAACAAAAACCTAAAAAAAAAACTTAAAAAAATCACCAAGGCCTTATGGACTTACTGAAACGCACAAACTCCAAACTGCCCCCAAATGGTAACTTACGATATCCTATTTTACCACTCCAAGCGATCAATGATAAAGAATTCTATCTTCATTTGCCGCCCAAGGCAAATCAATTTTATGAGCAGGAAGGAATATAGCATAAGAATAATAAATCAGCCTCCAATATTTTCCTGTAGAGTTTTACTTCCTAAAAAGAGCGTACTCCGTAGTTCTTACCTGTGTGCTGTGGGGTAAGACTAGAGTAGTGAGGTGAGGGGGCTGGACTCTGGTTTGCTCGCCGCTGTTGCCGCTGGTCTTCCCGCTGATGACAGTCTATCCCGCCCGGTCGTCAGACGTCTAAAGCCTGCAATGAGCAACCCCAAATAGAACCAGTCAGAAAAACATTGAATTCTTTATCCCAGAGCCACGGACGGGATTATGACGGGGTACTTTCCCCTTATACCCGGTATATCCTGATTTCGCGTCACATGTTATGAGAAAGCTAGGCCGGATTTACACGCCATAAGCTAGCCAGCATTCTCCCCCAGCGAAGTTGATTATCTCCCGACGAGACTTTATTATTTAGGCCCGGGATTTCACGATATCAAGGAAGAATATATCTTGGTGATTCCCTCCTCTATTTTCCTAAGCTGGGGGACTACGGGGGATCCGAGGCTTGGCTCCGGGGAGACTATGTGAATCACAATAGGCCAAAGTTGCGCCGAAGCCGTTTAGACGGGACAATTTTTCTTCATTACGAACAGACAATCCTGTACATTATGTTTCCACTGAGCAACACACCCCTAACGGGTGTACCATTCATGTTGTTGTTATATCCTGAACTTCTGCTTCTTTTTGTGTTTGTTCTGTCGACAAACATGACTTAAGTCGCCCGATTATACCGAAAATCCGCCCATACAAGTCAAGTCTCTGTACCCTACACAGAGAGCAGAACGTGTCGTTATGTAACTAAGTATTGAGCGGTGACTACGTAATCTGTATCTACAACAGCTTGTTAACATTTATCACCATCATGCAGGGACAGTCAAGTCGGTTAATCATCATAAAACCATCAACTTTTCGTATCGGAAAAAGTTCCGATACGAGGCGGCACGCAGGTGTCAGGAAGCGGCGGGGAATTCAGTCGGATTACCGCGCGATTATTATGATTAACAAATCATTTCGGTTTGGATCGAACGTTAGCAGAAGATGAATTTTACTATGTGACTCTCGGGTGTGATGATCTATACCGGACCTTTGTGATAACGAAAGAAAACCATACACTATTCAATATAATGTAAAACATACTGAATTTGAATTATATAAAACATAAGTTTGACTGATTATTTTTACAGCATTAAAACGTAAAGATTTTACAGCATTAAGATAACCAAACCTTTTCATGCCTTGGAAAGTGCAGTCAACGCTAGTATTATACTACAATCTCCCTCCAGGTGACTTGAAGAAATACTTAAGGCAAGACTAACACTACAGGATTTGAGAAGTCTTTGGTGAAGATAAGATGGGGGAAAGCCATCTTCAGGGCATCATGGTCGGCATTACTGTTCGTGCGAGACAGATACACCTGTCTGACGCGTAAGCTTTAAGAACAGACGGACTTGTGTCGTCAACCTTGGTGCTGAACTGAAACTATTCTGACCATTTTTGTCTTTTTTTCTTGACCATCTGTGTCAGTGTTCTGGGATCGATATCTACGGTAGGTATTCCCAATTGATGATTAGTTCCCATCTCATCGACTTCGGCGTAACTTTTTTTATCAGATAAACGAAAGAAACGACTGGCGTCAAAACCGTAACACGCTATTCGGTGTTAACGATAGGTAAAACAAGTAAAATGCTCCTAAAGTCGCCGATGACAGAACGTATACATTTTAGAGGTAAACAGATAGCCAGGTGTGTTTTCATTGTTACGACAGGTGTGCCACATTGTCACTGTCACTTATCGTTTCCACATGCTGAAGAACTCATGCGGACGTTATATTCCACACGAAGCTAGCTATTGATGTGCACGAAGCTACACCGTTTCAACTGGCTTTACGTACAGCTTCGGTTGGAGTTTCACAGAATAACAATTAATGTGTCCGTATTTCTCGTGCTCTGTGTGCAGGACAGTGAATTCCTGCGTGCGGACGGGCCCCATATTTCACGAGACCTTGTCTCATACGACTAGGATCTAGTCGCATCAGTGAAGTTTTCCGTGCGTGAAATTTATCCACGCCTACGAGGATACCCGAAGTTCAAGTCAGCTTACGTTCTAGGAGAGAACTATTCCCGGTAATCCGACTTGGTCCCGTTATTTATTTCGCTAACGGCTGTTGGGAGACGGGCCACGGAGGCTGATGAATGCATCACGTCCAAAAACCAACCAAGGATGGAGGAGAAAGAATGGCGGGCCTTCTGAAAAAGCAAACAAGACGGATCGGAAGGGACAAGGCGATTTTTCAACAGCTCAGGTGCGCTGTGTGTTTACATGAGGCCAGGTGCAAGCACCTATTGCGGACGGCATCTTCTCTAATACAGACGATCCTAGGAAAGAAAGCGGCGAGTCTCATCCTTAAATCTTTAAACACGACCAAGGACAGAGAGTGCATCAGGGAGAGAAGCGAGAAAAGCTAGGAAAATATTTGCCCTAAACCTTCTCTCATTTGTGCTAACACCTGGAGATTCACGGGAGGAAAACTGTTTCCAAGACAATAGAGACACCGGGAT